GAACAGATTGAAAGAGGCTCAGTGGTTCGTGCTTCAGGATAGTTTCTCTGGAATGCTGCTGTAATTTTGATATTCGATCTTGAATTTTTTTTTTAACCCTTTTCTTTCATTGGGTTCTTGTTACTTCTCATTCGTTCCTTGCTTGAAATGTGGGGGAAGTTGTATTGTAGAATGAGAACAATAGCTTCTGGCCACGCTCTTTAGTTGGACATGTTTGAGTATTTCATTTTTTTTTTCAATCATGTTTTAATCTGACCTGTTTGTTAAAGAAGAAAAATAAACGAACGAAACGGCCAAAGGGATAAACCCCCCCTCCCCCCATGAAGCTTGTACAGATTGGCCCAGTAATTTTTTTATGCGAGTGTATACTATGAACCATTTATTTTTAATACAAGGTCTGATTTTTTTTTAACTATTGGATGTGAAATTCAACATACTATATCACAGCTTTTAAGAAAATTTGTTTCGGACCTTGTGCTCAAGGAGTAACGCATCACCACCTGTTTCATTTCACATCTAATGGTTGTCAATAATTGTGACATTAAAAGTACATGGTCTCATCACATACATTTTATTTTGTTTATACGCAGTGTTTTTTGTTTTTTTTGCCGTCATCCCAAGAGTGAATGGATGGTTATTTGGGACAAAAATGCCTTTTATACTAAACAATGCCCCTAGAGCCTCATTTTTAAATTTGCTTTTAAAGGTCGATACCAGGTGATTCTAATTTTTTTGCCGGTCCAGCATTTGGAGTGGTGGAACATCCTTGTTTTTTTATTATTTTTAGAAACTGAGGCTTGTACCAAATATTTGACCAGCTTAGTTTTTAACTTTTTCATAGGCCCAAGTTAGTCCAGCATTTGGAGAGCGTTCAAAATATTTTTCATTATTTTTTATTTCGTAGTTCCGTATCTAGTCACTTAGTTTTAGGTAAACATAATTTAAAAAATATCTTCATATCTTTTATTTTTAATTTTTATTCCACAAATTCAAGGTTTTAAAAGATATAGTGAAACTTAAAAATTATAGATTTTATTTCTATGATTTTAAAAGATATAGTAAAACTTAAAATTTATGGATTTTATTTCTATAATCGTATGTTTCTTTGGGCCGAACAAATCTAAAAAGGATATTCTGTCTTCCTCTCAAACTTCTTTCTCTCTCCTCGCATCCTATCTCTCGCTCTCCATCTTTCCTATCTCTAATCCTCAACTCTCTCTCCTCTTTCTCTATCTCTTCACGTTCACCATCATTACAGAGTGTTCCTGAATCACAGAAGATGTTTTTTTGTCCTATTCTCAAATTCCTCCTCTTTTAGAGAGAGAAAATGGGGCTTTCCATCTTTCTCTGTTCCTTTTTGTCTCTGCTGCTCCTCATTCCATTCTCGTGCTCACCAACACCAGATGGAGATCATTTCAATGCTTCCTCCCTCCATAGCCTCATTCTCTATGATAACAATTCGACAGGGAGCTTGCCCCCTGGTTTATGCTGGCCCCCTCATCTCCAAAACTTTGGCCTCTCCCATAATGATCTTGGCGACCCCCTCTCGCCGGATATTTCACAGTTTCACAGTGCAAGCAACTCCAGCAACTGATTTTAGCGGGGAGTCGATTTTTCTACGAGATTCCAGCAGGGCTGGGATCGAGCCTTAAGAACCTTGTCCAGCTCGATCCCTCCTCGAATCTTTTCAATGCTTCCCTGCCTCTCGATCTTGGTGACCTGGGCCACTTTTAGGTATGTTGAAACTTCCGACGGGTCTAGGTCACTTACCGATCATAGTGAGCCTGGACTTGAGATCAAATAATTTTATATCTTGAATGAAATAGCCATGAAGAGCAGAGGGATAGAGCTTCCGATGCTGCATTTTAGAGAGAGAAAGCACCGAAAAATGCAGAGAAATGTGGATAAAAAAAAAGTAAGAAGAGAAGATGGGTGCTCCATTTCTCAGAGAGAGGGAGAGGTGAGAGGTTATGTTTGGATAAAGACGCACCAAGAGAGAAAGGGAGAAGTTCGAGATATATAAATGAAAGAGAGAAAAGACTGTGTTTAGAGTCTTCTTCACATTTATTTAAGGCTAAAAAATGGGTTTAAAGAGACAAGGGTTCGAAGATAATTTTGAAAATCTTAGGTTTATTAAAAAATAAAATCTAAGATATATGGAGATATTTTTTCAAAATAATTACTAAATATGAATAGTTACTTAGTTTTAGATAAAAATCAAAGTATTTTCTGAAAATTAAATGTGGCTATATTCAATTTGAACTATTGAAACCATCCATATGATGTGGTTGCGAGACTTTCTCTATTTATATCATAAGAAAATACAGTATTTTATTTGTAGAAAATAAATATAGGAACCTATCTAGTTATATTGGCATTCTAAATCAATATACTAGTTTTTTTTTTTTTAAATCAACATGCTAGTTACTCTTTTTTGGTAGTTCCGTAGAGAATTTTTATTTAATAATGATAGAAATGGAATTCAAGACATCATATTGTCGTATTTCTTCACCTTGACTACCAAGCCTTTAGCCCATTATTAAATATTTGTATCCGTTACTTGAGACACTCACAGACATCAACATCCATGATGTTGTACATGTATTGTTGTGAAAATAGTCTATATAAACTCCTGTGTCTCTTCTGTCTTTAAAATTTGGGTTTACTACTCCCTCAATTTTTTGTTACGTATCAAATTTACTTAATTGTCTCTTCTGCTTTTAAGAATGCCAAACTCGTTCAAATTCTTTTTAAAGAAAAACAAAAACATTTTCTTTCACACTTTCAGAAAAGTGTAAGCTTTATATGTTTCTCCTACAACATAGAAGTTATATCCTCCCTTTTATTCATCTATCCACTTTTAATAGAGGGTTAAGATTGTCCCAATCACAATGTCACATATCTACACTATTTTATTTTTAATTTTTTTTCTATAAATTATTTTGACACCAAATTTTTTATGTCCATTCCTCTATTAAACTCGCACTAATGAAAAATATAAAAAAAAATTATTTTCAATAAAATAAAATGACCAAAATACCTTTGAAAGTTTTAAAGGGTATTTTGGTCATTATATTTTAACACAAAATTATTGTTAATATTTTTTATAAGTGCGCCCCAATGAGAAAATGGCACGCACCAAATTTTATATGCAGAAAATTAGTATTAAAAAAAACTAAAAATGAAATAATTTGAGACGTGGGATCTAAGATCAAAATGTGACTGGCTCTCTTGATAAAAAATGGATGGTTGGATGGTAGGGGAGGATAGAACGCCATGTTGTAGAGGGAACATAGAAAAATTTCCCTTCAAAAAAAGGAGCTCTTTCTTTCTTTCTTTTTTCTCTATGTCTCTTCAAGGTATCATATCGCTTTTCAAGGTTTTTTTATTTTATTTTTGGCAAAACCCTTTCTTTCTTTCTAAATTAATGCATCTTTCCTTAATTTGGACAAATTTGATATTTTTGAGAAAAAAAATGATAATTTGATACAGGTGCAGTTGAGGTTTATAAGGTGTCAACTTGGTTTATAAGGTGTCAACTTTAAAACAATCCAAGTAAGGCGCACCTCTAACCCCCACCTAAAGAGGCATTCATGCCAAAAGCCTTGTAATAGCATGTGATCTATTTTTTTTTGTAAAAAAAGAAAAAGCATGTAATTTATTTTGATTGATCATCTCGACATCGAGATATATGATCATGTAAAATAAAAAAATTTAAGTCTCAGAAATAGTGAATTTTACAGCATATTATCTACACCGTCTATTTTCAAGATTGTCATATGTTTACAGATCTACTTGATTTTAACCATTTTTGAAATTTAAAAATTTATAATTATGTAGAAAAATAGATTTTGAGATAATCCTAATAACATTTTACTTCAAAATTATATACCTTGATAAAATTTGAAGGTGCACCTTACCTCTACACCTACGAATGCATCCGTATGCCAACTGCGCCTTATATATATATATATATATATACTACAAAATGCCTAAAGATGAAAATGAACAGTGATTTCGCCTAACTTCATCACTGTCCAAAGTTCATCGCACGGTCATGATTGTCCGGTAGTATTTCATTTTTCATTTTTTATACAAATCAGAATGACCTGAAAATTGGAGTGTGTGTTCATAAAAGATAGGTG